AGAACACAGACACCGACCCTCAGAACTCAGACACCGACCCTCAGAACTCAGGCTGCGGCCTCAGAACTCAGACACTGACCCCCAGAACTCAGACACCGACCCCCAGAACTCGGACACCGACCCCCAGAACTCAGACACTGACCCCAGAACTCAGACACCGACCCTCAGAACTCAGACACTGACCCTCAGAACTCAGACACCGACCCTCAGAACTCAGACACTGACCCTCAGAACTCAGACACCGACCATCAGAACTCAGACACTGACCCCAGAACTCAGACACCGACCCTCAGAACTCAGACACTGACCCTCAGAACTCAGACACCGACCCTCAGAACTCAGACACTGACCCTCAGAACTCAGACACCGACCATCAGAACTCAGACACTGACCCCAGAACTCAGACATCGACCCCCAGAACTCAGACACCGACCCCCAGAACTCAGGCTGCGGCCTCAGAACTCAGGCACCGACCCTCAGAACTCAGACACCGACCCTCAGAACTCAGACACTGACCCCAGAACTCAGACATCGACCCCCAGAACTCAGACACCGACCCTCAGAACTCAGACACTGACCCCCAGAACTCAGACACCGACCCTCAGAACTCAGACACTGACCCCAGAACTCAGACACCGACCCTCAGAACTCAGACACCGACCCTCAGAACTCAGACACTGACCCCAGAACTCAGACACCGACCCTCAGAACTCAGACACTGACCCCCAGAACTCAGGCACCGACCCCCAGAACACAGACACTGACCCCCAGAACTCAGGCACCGACCCTCAGAACTCAGGCTGCGGCCTCAGAACTCGGGCACCGACCCTCAGAACTCAGACACCGACCCTCAGAACTCAGACACTGACCCTCAGAACTCAGACATCGACCCCCAGAACACAGACACTGACCCCCAGAACTCAGGCACCGACCCCCAGAACACAGACACTGACCCCCAGAACTCAGGCACTGACCCTCAGAACTCAGGCTGCGGCCTCAGAACTCAGACACTGACCATCAGAACTCAGACACCGACCCTCAGAACTCAGACACCGACCCTCAGAACTCAGACACCGACCCTCAGAACTCAGACACTGACCCTCAGAACTCAGGCTGCGGCCTCAGAACTCAGACATCGACCATCAGAACTCAGACACCGACCCTCAGAACTCAGACACCGACCCTCAGAACTCAGGCTGCGGCCTCAGAACTCAGACACTGACCCCCAGAACTCAGACACCGACCCCCAGAACTCGGACACCGACCCTCAGAACTCAGACACCGACCCCCAGAACTCGGACACCGACCCTCAGAACTCAGACACCGACCCTCAGAACTCAGACACCGACCCCCAGAACTCAGACACCGACCCTCAGAACTCAGACACCGACCCTCAGAACTCAGACACCGACCCTCAGAACTCAGACACCGACCCTCAGAACTCAGGCTGCGGCCTCAGAACTCAGACACTGACCCCCAGAACTCAGACACCGACCCCCAGAACTCAGACACCGACCCTCAGAACTCAGACACCGACCCTCAGAACTCAGACACCGACCCTCAGAACTCAGACACTGACCATCAGAACTCAGACACCGACCCTCAGAACTCAGACACTGACCCTCAGAACTCAGACACCGACCCTCAGAACTCAGGCTGCGGCCTCAGAACTCAGACACTGACCCCCAGAACTCAGACACCGACCCCCAGAACTCGGACACCGACGCTCAGAACTCAGACACCGACCCCCAGAACTCAGACACCGACCCTCAGAACTCAGACACCGACCCTCAGAACTCAGACACCGACCCTCAGAACTCAGACACCGACCCTCAGAACTCAGGCTGCGGCCTCAGAACTCAGACACTGACCCCCAGAACTCAGACACCGACGCCCAGAACTCAGACACCGACCCTCAGAACTCAGACACCGACCCTCAGAACTCAGACACCGACCCTCAGAACTCAGACACTGACCCTCAGAACTCAGACACCGACCCTCAGAACTCAGACACCGACCCTCAGAACTCAGACACTGACCCTCAGAACTCAGACACCGACCATCAGAACTCAGACACTGACCCCAGAACTCAGACATCGACCCCCAGAACTCAGACACTGACCCCCAGAACTCAGGCTGCGGCCTCAGAACTCAGGCACCGACCCTCAGAACTCAGACACCGACCCTCAGAACTCAGACACTGACCCCAGAACTCAGACATCGACCCCCAGAACTCAGACACTGACCCCCAGAACTCAGACACCGACCCTCAGAACTCAGACACTGACCCCCAGAACTCAGACACCGACCCTCAGAACTCAGACACTGACCCCCAGAACTCAGACACCAACCCTCAGAACTCAGACACTGACCCCAGAACTCAGACACCGACCCTCAGAACTCAGACACTGACCCCCCAGAACTCAGACACCGACCCTCAGAACTCAGACACTGACCCCCAGAACTCAGGCACCGACCCCCAGAACACAGACACTGACCCCCAGAACTCAGGCACCGACCCTCAGAACTCAGGCTGCGGCCTCAGAACTCGGGCACCGACCCTCAGAACTCAGACACCGACCCTCAGAACTCAGACACTGACCCTCAGAACTCAGACATCGACCCCCAGAACACAGACACTGACCCCCAGAACTCAGGCACCGACCCCCAGAACACAGACACTGACCCCCAGAACTCAGGCACCGACCCCCAGAACACAGACACTGACCCTCAGAACTCAGACACTGACCCTCAGAACTCAGGCTGCGGCCTCAGAACTCAGACACCGACCATCAGAACTCAGACACCGACCCTCAGAACTCAGACACCGACCCTCAGAACTCAGGCTGCGGCCTCAGAACTCAGACACTGACCCCCAGAACTCAGACAGACACCGACGCTCAGAACTCAGACACCGACCCCCAGAACTCAGACACCAACCCTCAGAACTCAGACACCGACCCTCAGAACTCAGACACCGACCCTCAGAACTCAGACACCGACCCCCAGAACTCAGACACCGACCCTCAGAACTCAGACACCGACCCTCAGAACTCAGACACCGACCCTCAGAACTCAGACACCGACCCTCAGAACTCAGACACCGACCCTCAGAACTCAGACACTGACCCCCAGAACTCAGACACCGACCCCCAGAACTCAGACACCGACCCTCAGAACTCAGACACCGACCCTCAGAACTCAGACACCGACCCTCAGAACTCAGACACCGACCCTCAGAACTCAGACACCGACCCTCAGAACTTAGGCTGCGGCCTCAGAACTCAGACACCGACCCTCAGAACTCAGACACTGACCCCCAAAACTCAGACACCGACCCCCAGAACTCAGACACCGACCCTCAGAACTCGGGCTCTGGCTCCCAGAACTCAGGCTCCGTCCCCCAGAACTCAGGCCTCGGCCCCCAGAACTCAGACTCCGGCCCCCAGAACTCAGGCCTCGGCCCCCAGAACTCAGACTCCGGCCCCCAGAACTCAGACACCGACCCTCAGAACTCAGACACCGACCCTCAGAACTCAGACACTGACCCTCAGAACTCGGGCTCTGGCTCCCAGAACTCAGGCTCCGGCCCCCAGAACTCAGGCTGCACTCCCAGAGCTCAGAAAGTGATCCCTGGACCTCGGACACTGCCCTCGGAACTCAGGCTCCTTCTCCAGAACTCAGGCGCCGGGCTCGGTTCGCCCCACGGGAGCCGTCCGGGCCCGCGCGGGCCGCAGTACCTGCGTCTCCGGCCGGGCTGGGATGATCCCTTCGGACAGTCCTTCCAGGACACTCAGCAACTCTTTGGGATCCCAGCTTGGTATCCGGATCATAGGCTGTGCACCTCCCAGGGCTACTGCGCATGCGTACCCTCACGGGGCCTGCTGGGAAATGTAGTCCTCGCAGCCTCTCGGCCACAAGGTGGTGCTCTAGGGTTGCAGCCTGGATAGCCGACCGCGGGTTCGAATCCCGAGACTCCAGGCACCTTGGTAGGGGCCAAACTGGCTTTTCTATTCTGAGATGGGGTTCCGCATCACTTCAGAGCAGAAAACCGCTGAGGTGGGAAAACGGAAGAAACCAGGCAGGGAAACAGTTAAAGGGAACGTGATCTGAAGATTTGGGAGGAAGGACGGGCAGAGCTGACGGCGACAGACTTGCGGTTTGGGTCCCAGCAGTGATGTATAATGGGGCAGTCTAGATTTGGGTCGACACTGTGCATCGCGGCCCGCAGCTTGACTGAAGGAGGCCGGGGTTAGGGTTGTACTAATGGGTCTGGGAATTCTAGTAAGTCTGCTTCTTCTTGAAACAGTCTCACGTAGCCCAGGCTGGCCTCGAACTCCTGATCCTCCTGCCTCAGCCTCCCGAGTGCGGCCAGCCTTGACGTCCGGGGCGCTGGGAGTGCAGCCCCAGCCACCCCACTTTCTTCTATTACCACTCTCTCTGCAGCCCAGGCTGGCCTCGAACTCCGCCCGCCTCTGCCTCCCGAGGGCTGGGAATGAGGGAGAGCCCGCCACACTCGGCCACCCTCATGCTTAAGCCAAGGTCCCATGTAGCCCAGGCTGGCCTTTCAGACTTGATGTGTGGCCAGGGCTACGCTGATCCTGATTCTCCCGCTCCATCTCCCACCGCAACTGACTGTTGTTGCTGTTGTTGTGCAGCCCTGGCTGTCCTGGATCTCACTCTGTAGCCCAGGCTGGCCTCGAGCTCACGGGGATCCGCCCGCCTCCGCCTCCCCAGGCCTGGGTTGAAGGCGTGCGCCGCCACCGCCCGGCTGACTGTTCTTTTAGGTTTTCAAAACTCCCACGTGAGACACAAGTATGAACCTATGGTGACATTTTAAGTAGCCGGGATCTAAGGATAAGAATTCCTTGAAATATTCTTTGAACCAGTGATAACTACAGTTCAAACGAGTCACGCAACAGCCAACCCTAAGAAGACTACATTTCCCAGAAGGCCGCGGGCGCCGCCCACGCCCCGAAGCGGCCCTGGAGCGCTGACGTAGCCCGGAAGCACGCACGTGCGAGCCGGCGAGCATTATGGCGGCCACCCGTCTCCTCGGGGCGTCCAGGATGTGGGCCGGCCGTCGACTCCAGGCCCTCCCGCTCCCCGGAGGACCTGGAGCACTCTCTGTACGGGACTACGCCAAGAAGCCAGGTGAGGCGGCTCCGGAGGCACCGACGTGGGCAGGGCGGGAAGCCAGGGAGCCGGCAGTGCGCAGGCGCGCCGCTCGGGAGGCGGGACTCCGGGACTGCCGCGCAGGGGACGGAGGCCGAGCGGTGCGAGCGAGCGCTGGGAGGCTCGCCCCCGCCGGCGCTCAGAGCGCAGGCGCGGACCCGGGGGCCGAGTCAAACCCCAAACCACCCGCGACGATTCGGTTGTTGCTGCTATGTTAATTAAAAATAAACGAACAAACAAATCAATAGAATAATGTGGGCGGGAAGTTGCCGCTGTGTAAAGCGCGTGCTGCGAAAGTCCGGGGACCTGAGTTCGATCCCCAGGACCCACGTAAGCGTGGAAGGAGATGACCGACTCACACACGCGCTATGCCCCCTCCCCCGTGATAATAATTCCTAAAAATTACGTTTTGAGGCTAAACCTGATAGCGCACATCTTTACTCCCAGCGCTCGGGACGGAGAGGCAGGGGGATTTCTGTGAGTCCCGGGCCTGCCAGGAAGACCACATCTCAAGAAAAAAAATTTTTTTTTAGTGTTTTACTTTTTTGCCGGGCAGTGGTGGCGCACGCCTTTAATCCCAGCACTCGGGAGGCAGAGGCAGGTGGATCTCCGTGAGTTCGAGGCCAGCCTGGGCTACAGAGTGAGATCCAGGACACAGGGCTACACAGAGAAACCCTGTCTCGAAAAACCAAAAAAACGGAAGTTTTCTTTTGATGTTGTTCCAGGAGGGCTGCATAGTAACATCCTGTCTCGAAAAATAATAAAGTATTTTTTGTTCTTTAATTTTGGCACAGGGTGTCGTGTCTGCGTGTATTCCGGGCCGGCCTAGAGCCGCTGAGCCATCTTGCTAGTCAGTTTTTTATGCTTTTGAGACAAGGTCTTATGATCCCCCAGCCTCAGCTCCAGAACTCTGAGGTGACTGGCAAGTGCCACCATGAGGAGGCGCTGAGTGGTGACTGCTGGACCTTTAGGCCGTAGTCTTGGGGCCGGGAGGGGTTGTGCCATAAAACAAGGGACCCCGTTATCCATGGGGGTGTCTGGGGGTGCTGGAGCCCGGAGGCCTCACCGAGGGGGCGCAGGGGCAGGGCTGGGCGTGCTGACGTGACCTGAGCTCCACCCTGCAGTCATGAAGGGCACCAAAGGCGCCAAGGGCAGTGTGGCCCCTGAGGCCCTGAAGGACCCCGAGGTGTGCACAGACCCTGTCCAGCTAACCACGCACGCCATGGGCGTCAACATCTACAAAGAAGGCCAGGACGTGGCCCTGAAGCCGGACTCGGAGTACCCCGAGTGGTAAGTGTGGCTGCACCTCATCTCCACCCGGCCAGCTGGCCTGTGGGGACACAGTACTCAAGGACAGCTCCTGGGCCACCGCAGGGCCTGCTGGCCTCACCCACCCTGGTCCGGGGAGCTTCCGGACGCCAGGCCCCTGTGCTCTGCTTGCAAATGCCGGGCCCATGCACAGGGCCGTGTGTCCCTGAGGGCTGCGGGGGCAGGGGTGGTGACAGATTTATGGCTGGTCCCTGGCTATCCAGACCTGGTCCCAGGGACCCAGAAGGTCACTCAAGAGCAGAAGTGTCTCCTTCCTGGAGGGAGCTGGGACCCAGTTAGCTGAGCAGGTGGGTGTGGTGGGGCTGCACTCCTGGACACCGGGAGAGGCAGGGACAGCGGGGTGCAGGCTGGCCAGCACCGAAGCCAGGAGGGAGCCAGGACGGGTAGAAGGTGTGGCCTGTGCAGAGCCTGGAGCAGGACAGAGCCTGTTCTGGGCAGGAGGGAGGGGCTTGTGGTGGGGACAGAGGGGGCGGGCAGTGGGGTGGGACAGCCTGGTCCCTCAGTTTTGTTCCCTGTCATTGAGAGCCAGAACTAGAGTGGGTTCAAAGCCCCAGCTCGACACTCCACACCCCAGAGCTGTGAGGCGGCATGCAGTTCTGACCCTCTCCCAGGCTATTCCAGATGAACTTGGGTCCCCCGAAAAAGCTGGAGGAGCTGGAACCCGAGTCCCACGAGTACTGGCGACTGCTGCGCAAACAGAACATCTGGCGTCACAACCGCCTGAGCAGGAACAAGAAGCTGTAGTGTGAGGAGGGAGCATCTCACGGGAAGGTGCCCGGCCGGCCAGCGAGAGGGCTCGGCGGGGAAAGGTGCTTGCCACCCAGCTTGAAGACCTGAGTTCAATCCCCGAACTCTGATGGAGGAAGGAGGGAACTGATCCTGTAAACTGTCAACCTCCATATGTGCACCTTGGCGAGTGCAGGCCATGTGCACAGACACACACACGCACGCACGCACACACACTAAATAAACAGATACAAAAGTAAGTGAATAAAGGCACCTGTGGCGATGGACACACTTGCTGCCCTGGGCGGTCACACCTAGGAGGGCGCTTGGACATGCCGCAGCCCGGCCGCCTCTGCCCCACAGTGCCTGTGGGCTCTGTCTAGGACACCTCATCTTGAGCAGGCGGGCTGGGCCTGGCCCTAAAGGCCTTCAGGCAAAGCTAAGCCCAGGGGCTTCAACAATAAGGTCTGTGTTTGACCTGGTCCGGCGCCCTCCGGTGGGTGGCGATTGGAGAAGGTGGCATCGGCCCCTGGCCAGCTGCACATCCGGGCTCCCCGAAGGGAGCTGGGCACAGGACTGACTGCCCGTCCCCTCCATCTGGGATGTGGGTGTGGCTCACTTGTCCCTCTTTGGACCCCAGGGCTGGACCCGTCTTTGCCACCTGGGTCATGAGCCCCCTGATGTGGGCATGTGGCTCCCCTCGCCTTCCCAGATAGCTCTGCGTCCAGCTGACCCAAGAGAAGGGGTGAGATTGTGCTGGGAAAATGCCTGGGCAGGGCCGTGGGCCGCGGGCCCGTTGGGTGGTCCTGGTGGACCTCACTGGAGGGATTCGGGGCCCTGTCCATACAGCAGAAGTCTGTGGAGCCCCTTCTTGGCAGCAGCCCTCGTGATGCCCAGTGGGCAGAGGGGCTAGGACACGGCCATCTTACCCCAAATACCTGTGAACCCCTGAGGCTCTCCAGCACCTGCCAGAGTTACAGTAGAAGTGGGCTGGTGCACCTGATTCCTCCCGGCCCGCAGCCGCAGCTGCATGGCCTCCACCGCTGGGGACACGGCCTGGCCAGGGCCTTCACACAGGCTGTGCCCTCTGCCTGGACCACGTGCACCTCCTTCCACTCTGGACAAGGTTGGCCAAACTGTTGCCGTGGCAACCCCAGCCTGGGCCCCAGCGCACACTCCCTGCTCTCCTGTCCCCCTTGCAGCCGCATGAAGATTACCACTGAGTTTACGAGAAATCTTGTGTGTCAGCACCCAGTGTGGCTGTGTGCCACAGCTGTAGATGAGCGATGGAGGGACGGGGGGTGGGGGGGTGGACGGGTGGATGGTGGATGGGGGGTGGGTGGATGGGTGGGTGGATGGATGGATGGATGGACGGACGGATGGGTGGATGGGTGGGTGGGTGGATGGATGGATGGATGGGTGGATGGATGGATGGATGGATGGATGGGTGGATGGGTGGATGGGTGGTGGGTGGACAGATGGATGGATGAACGGATGGGTGGATGAATGGGTGGGGGATGGGTGGATGAGCTTTGTGAATGGATGAGCGATCGATCTATGGGTTGAGTGGATGAGTAGCGGGTATGTGGCTGTGTGTGGTTCGATGGATGAGTAGAAGAGCAGGTGGGTGGAGAGATGGAGGCATGCATGGTGGATGTGTGGTCTGGAGGTGGGTGAGTGGATGGCTGTGTCAGGGATGGGTCTGGGTGGTAGGTGGATGTGAAGGTAGACAGCATCCTGCCTGCTCTCGATGTTACTGTCATACCCTCTGACTCCCTGCTTGGCTTTGGTGTCTGGGATTCCATGGAAGAAAACCACCGTGGCCTGGGATCCAGAAAGTCTGGGTCCCCTCTGCACGCTGCCACTTTCTCTCAGGCCTCTGGAGACCTGCTCTCCTGGCACCCCTGTCCCGTCTGTGACATGGACATCCCGTTCGTTCATCCTGAGATGGGATGGGATCTGAACACCTAGCTTGGCGCCCCCACACACACACGGGGGTGACCCCTTGGGCTCACGTCTGTAGCGCCTCTATAAATGGGCACCATGGCTCAGGCTCCCTTCCCGGCAGGAGGAGGCGGGGCCCTGGGGGCTGGTGACTAGTGGGTCCCCGGCCTGGCTGTTCCCCAGAGGCTCGTGTACACGGGCTGGTAAGGCAGGTGCTGCACGCAAGGACAGTCGGCCTGTGCAGGTAGAGGGGCAGGGACTTGGAGCAACATCACAGGCATCAATAATCTCGCGGGCTCAGGACCGTGGGGGCAGGGCGAGGTCGCCACAACTGAATGCAGGGAGCTGGCTGCGTAGGTCTCCGATGGCCCAGAGAAGCGGGAGGGGGGCAGACACATGAATGTCACAGACAAATGTACGAAGTCCTTCCAATCGCTCTTTATGGGGGCCCTGGGTGTGGGGTTTCCAGGGGCTGCGGAGCCTGCGCACTGGCCCATCCTGGCCCTGTGACCCCGCACCTGGGCCCTCTTGCTTCAGGGGTCAGGGTTCCTGGCTCCGTGGGAGAGCTGAGCCCTCAGCTTCCTGTCCCCCAAGGGGAGCCGCGGCGCCCACGCTGCGGAGCTCGCGGCCCAGCTTCTCTGCTATTTTGCGGAAGGGCGGTCTGCGCGCAGGCTCTGCCTCCCAGCAGCTGCCCATGAGGGTGTGCACAGGTCCCGGGCAGCCGTCGGGGGGCTCCATGCGGTAACCCTTCTCCACGGCCTCTGAAACCTCCTTCAGCGACTGCAGACACAGGGCATGCAGCATGGGTGGGAGGTCTGCAGCACAGGACGCACAGCTGCCCCTCCCCAGGGCGCTGCTCACCATCTTGGGGTATGGAGCTCTTCCGTATGAGAAGACTTCCCACAGCAGCACCCCAAAACTCCAGACGTCCGATTTGCTGGAAAACCGCTGTGGGGGCCGAGGTCAGGGTGAGCAGGGTCCCTGTGGCCTCCCTGGACACAGTCCCAGGCTACTTCCTCCCCCCCCCCAATACTAAGCCCATGACTGCTTCAGAGATCTGAGGAAGTGCCAGGAGGAATGGGGGCCTGGGCTCCCTGGAGAGGCAGCCATTTTCCCTGGAAGCTCAGAGAGGTCAAGGGATGTATGTAGGGTCACACAGCCCAGTCACAACATCATCCTCCCTCTGAGGAACCCCAAAACCCCAGAGAGGGGTGGAACGCTGCTCACCCCATTCTTGAGAGCCTCAGGCGCCGACCACTTGACTGGCAGCCGGCTTGAGTCCAGCCCCTTCCGCTCGGCCTTGGCTAGGCCAAAGTCACTGACCTTGGCCACCAGGTCCTCAGAGACCAGGATGTTGCGAGCAGCCAGGTCCCGGTGTACCAGCTTCTTGCTCTCTAGGTACTCCATACCCTCAGCAACATGCCTAGGGACAGACAAGTCCCGGTCACCCCGCAGTCAGACCCCAGTTTCCCCTTCATCTTGGGGACCTACCTTCCGGGAAGGACTGTCACTTACAGAGAAAACTGCAGGAGTTGAGATGTGCTCACGAGGGCGCGGCCCCGCGTGCGCAGGAAGTTCACCAGGTTGCCCTGTTTGGGGGGGAGGGACCTGGGGGTCTCCAGGCTGCTGGGCCACCCCTGTCCATCCACCCATCCACCACCCCGCACACCTTGCTCACGTGCTCCATGACAATGTACAAGCCGTGGTGCAGGATCACGCCCAGGAGTCGTACCAGGTTTCTGTGCTGTAGCTTTCTGGGGAGGGGGGACGGGGAGGATGGGGGGCAGACAGATGGGGGTGGTGGGAAGTGAGTGCACACCCGGGACCCCGGCCCTGAGACCCAGTCCCACCCGGCCACTCACGTCATCACAGCCGTCTCATCCAGGAAGGCCTGGGCTGTCACATCACACTTGATATTCTTCACGGCCACCTTCTGCCCCAGGTACTCACCCTGCAGGACGGCTGTGGAGGGGGATAGAGCTCAGGACCCACCAACAAGACCCACAAACGGACCTGCTGACATCCCCGCGTAGACTCCCCCAGTGAGGGGCGTGGTCAGGGCGGAGCCCCGCCTAGAATCCCCCCCGTGAGGGACTGGGGGCGTGGTCAGCGTGGAGCTTAATGAGGGACTAGGGGCGTGGCCTGAATAGAGTATTGGCTCTAAATTCAGGAGGCCTTGTTCCATCCCTGGTCCCAAAAGAAGATATAAACAATTAATGCAAATACAATGGCTGTCTCATTATTCAGAATTCAAATTTCTGTTCCACGGAGAAGCCCACAGTCCTGCCCGTGTTTGCATAGTTTCCGGGTGCTCAGGACGGACAGGGCTTGGTGTGAGTCGGTTCACTGTCCTCTGCTCTAAGTTCCAGGACAAGCGCACACAGGGAAGGTGTCCTGAGTAGAGCGCCCAGGAAGATGCCGGGAGATGGGGGTGGGCTGCCGCCGGGCACCTGACAACCCGCACCCGTCCTGCACCGTCCTGCACTGTCCAGAAGGGAGGAGCGCCTTCTGTGCCCCCTCCTCACCTCCGAACTCCCCCTCTCCGATCTGGGCTCCCAGAGTCAGGTGCTGCAGGTCGAGTAGCCAGCCCGCTGCGGGAACAGAGACCAGTCAGAGCGGGCCAGGAGCCGCGGCCCTTCCACCCAGCCTGCATCCAGTCAGATGTGCAGCGCTAACATCCCACAGCTGTGCACACCTAAGCATGCGCCCACCGCAGCAGTTGTCCCAAGGCTGCATGGCGGACGCCCCACTCCAGGTCAAACCACAGGCTGCCCCAAGGGGATCATCAGAATTCAATCCCACCCGGTTCCCCAGACTTCAGCCACTGATCTCCCAGGGACACACGGAGATATGGAGAGCCACACAGGTTCTGGACTATTTCTGATCTTGTCTCTAGCAGGCTCTTGCACTCCACACATACCCTTCAGCTGCTCCTCAAAGCCCTCCTCCTTTTCCCCCAAAAGCTTTCTAAGCCACGAGTCTGAAGAGCCAAGCAGGACAGACACCTCGGTCCATCGTGGGCTTGTCTCTGGGACCCCAGACCCCACAGGAGACATGTGGCAGTCGGGCTTGGAAGACTCAGGGGCTTAACCAAGCCAAGGCGGGGGCTTGAGGATGAGAGATTGAGGCTGGGGTGGGAGGTGGGAGGCTGGGGTGGGAGGTGGGAGGCTGGGGTGGGAGGCTGGGGTGGGAGGCTGGGGTGGGAGGTGGGAGGCTGGGGTGGGAGGCTGGGGTGGGAGGCTGGAGTGGGAGGTGGGAGGCTGGGGTGGGAGGCTGGAGTGGGAGGCTGGGGTGGGAGGTGGGAGGCTGGGGTGGGAGGCTGGGGTGGGAGGTGGGAGGCTGGGGTGGGAGGTGGGAGGCTGGGGTGGGAGGTGGGAGGCTGGGGTGGGAGGCTGGGGTGGGAGGCCGAGTCTGGACTGCTGTGTATGAGGTGCCCTCTCCCGGGTGGCTATCATACCCTTTGCAAGCTCCTCCTCGGCTGACTTGGCGCCCTGTTTCCTCTTTGGCTTCACCAGCTTGGTGCAGATGGCCCCCTTGTCCTTGGTGTAATGCTGTAGGGACCGGCAGCCGTGAGCCTCCCCCACAATCTCCTCAGCGGGGTAAGCAGAACCCCCAGGTACCAGGCTAAGGTGAACGGGTTTCCATGGCAACAGTGGGTGCAGGATGGAAGGTGAGGGGCGGTGGGTGTCAACATGGGGCTCCCCGGAGAGGTGACCCCAATTCTAGAGACAAGTGAGACTCCTAGAGACCCCCCTCCATCTCTCCACCCCTCCCGCTCCAACCGTTCCCCACAGGTCACCTCCACCATGTCCATCAGATTACAGAAGCACACGGCCTCATCGATGGTGAGGTGGCCATCTCGATGCAGGACCCGGTAGTGGATGACGTCTCGGCCGAAACTGACACACAGGACGTAGTCTCCGGGGTGACGAGCCGATTCCCGCACGAGGAACAGCCCGTCCTCCGGCGGCTGCAGCTGCTGCACAGCTTCCTGGCCGGAGATCTTGCCGTGGAACCATCTGTGGGACCCGTGGGGACAGGATACAGCGTGGGGCAGGGGCGGCGGGCACCCTGATGCCACCCATCCAACCAGGGCGCCACTCACGGCATGAGACTGAGCTTGGGGTCTGCAGAGAGGGCCTCCCGCTGCCGCAGCGCGGCGGCCGCCAGCAGCCCCTCCTGCCCGCTTCCATGGTGCTTGGCGCGGGTACCAGCTCTTGTCCTGCACAGGGAGGGCGGGGAGGGCGGGGAGGAGCCGGTGGGTGTCTGTCCTGGCACCCCTAAGTGCACCCCAACTACCCTTCGGCCCCCCCTCACCTCGCAGGCCTCCAAGATGGTCACCATGTCGCCCTTGCGGAAGGCCAGCTCACCCGGCTTGGGGCGCGAGTTCTCACACTTGGTCATACATTGAGTCCCAGGGGCCCAGCGCCGCTGGGGATAAGACAGAGGCAGGGGGATGTCAGGGACAGGAGGAAGAAGTGGGAATTGGGAGGGACAGGGAGACCTGAGAGAAACTGGGGGCTGGTGGAGCAGAGGACAGGACAAGGGAATGGTGAAGCGGGCTTGTAGCCTAGCCCTCAGGCAGCTGAGACAGGAGGATGCCAGACCAGCTAAAGGCCAGCCTGGGCTACAGTGAGACTTCTCTCAAAAACTAAAAACTAACGCTGGGTGTGAAGGCCCACACCTGTAATCCCAGCACTCGAGAGGCAGAGGCAGGCGGATCTCTGTGAGTTTGAGGCCAGCCTGGGCTACAGAGCGAGTTCCAAGCCCAGGCACATTTATACAGTGAGACCCTGTCCCAAAAGCAAAATAAAATAAAAAATAAAACCCTGGGGGTGTCTAATATAGAGAAAAATAGGGGGTGAGGATGGAAAGGAATCGTGTTAGACAGAGAGAGAGGGGGGGGGCACAGAATCACAGTCACATGTGGAGGCCTGGGTGGCCAGTCTGGCCCAGTCCCTGGGGACTTTCAGGGTTGGAAGCTTGCCTCGGGATGCACCCGCCCTCCCACGGGGACAGCTGAGGAAGGTCTGGTGACTCGGGGCCCCACACTCACGGTTGGCATCCTAGCTGCGGCAGGCGAGGGGTGCCAGGCTCGGAGGAAGCGAGGGCTCACCTGTGGAGGAGGCAGTGTCATGCTTGGGGGATGTCCCCAGGTGCGGTTCCTTCCTCTGGGCCTGGCTGGGTGGAGGCGGCACCAGGAGGCAAAGAGCCCCCTCAACATCCCTCAGGTGGCTTAGGTCGTGATCCCCTCTGCAGCCCTTGGCTTTGGGAAGTTATCTTTACCCGAGGGAAGTCCTTAGACTCCCAGCCATCAAAGGCCAGCCGGGAGACCCCGGAGCCTTGTCCTGCCATTGCTCGGGAAGGGAAACTGAGGCCCAGAGGCAGGAGTGCAGGAATCCGATGGCTTTGGTGGCAGCCAGGGCTGTGTGTGGGGAGGACAATGCCAGGAGCTGGGCCTGCGGCTTCCTCTTTTCTGGGCTGTGGCCAGGGGCGGTGACTCAAGGTCATTCCTGGGAATCTGACCCTGGGTGGAGCCTGGGGAGGCCTGGCTTCTACGCTGCTCCTCAGGTCATCAGGGGTCACCAAGGAAGCATATGGAAGGACCCACACCACCCCAGCGCCACTGCAGGGCATTGGCTGCCAAGGTCCCCAGCTGGTGGCTGGCAGGGTCAGGGCGGGAGATTGGGGTGCGCTTCTGGCCTCAGGCTCAGCGGGGTTTGCAGGGCAGCTGCGCGCAGGCGGAGATGCACGTGCATCTGGGTACAGGTGCCACCCGGCCACCAGCGTGTGCGCGACACGGGGGCTGGCTAGACGCGGGCACCTGTGCGTGTGCCTGAGGCGCAGACGGGCCCTGCAGTGACCACCGGGGCGCGCGCACTCAGAGACGCGCACGCCGCACCCAGAAAAAAAAATATCCAGCGGTGGCACCTGACGCCCCCAGGGTCCAGGATCATTTTGGGGGGCGCCCCCTCTCCATCCGCGCGCACGCGCTCACCTGCTCAGGGCGCGACCCCGGGAGGGTCCCCGCCAGCGGGTAGTGTGCCCCAAGGCTCAACTCGGAGCAACTTGCTCCGCTTCCTCATTTTGGGGCGAGGATGGAGGGGACCCGGCTCGGAGCCCCCGCGGGTCCTAGCGCCGGCCGCACTGCAGGCTGCGCTGCCGCCGCCTCCTGCTCCGCCTCCTGCGCAGCCCAAGCGGGATGCTGGGTGCCCGGTGCCCTCTGGATCCCCGCTGAGCCCCGGCCTTCCGTCGCCCACCCCAGGAAGGCTGGGAGCGCGGAATGGCTCGCGCACGCGCAAGCGCAAGGAGTGGGAAGGAGCTCCCGGTTTGGGGAGGTGATGAAGGCAAGTAGAGAGGCCTCCGCGCTGCAGGCCTGGCCTCCCGGCCTCGGCCTCCACTCCAGGCTGCGCTGTGAGCCTGACCCACGCCCATACAAGTACTTTCAGAAGTGCCAGGCACTCCGTGCTGTGGGGCCCTCAAATGCTCTCCCAGCACTCTGGAGGCCGAGGCAGGCGGATCTCTGTGAGTTCAAGGCCAGCCTGGGCTACATAGAGAGTGGGAGGAGCTCAGTAGTGGAGGACAAGTTTGGACAGAAGTGCCTTGCACTGAGGGACGTGGCACTTCCGGAAGCCACAGGTCGGTAATCACAAGTCCCCAGCAGGTGTGGGTACCCACTTAGGAATCCTTGGCCAGGGAGGTCCACTGCAAACCACCTTCTGCTCTAGACTGACCCTATTGCTGACGAAACGGCCGGCCGGTTCCTCCCTGCTGCCGCGCACGCAGCTCCCACACTGCGGGAGCCGCTCCACTGGTGCCATGGTGGCCGGAGAGTTCCCGTAACCAACTGCTCCCGGATAGGATCTGACCCGACCTGCACAGGTGCCACCGATGCGCCCTTCATGCCCTGCCTACAAACCAGTCAGAGCCCAGGCTGGACACCCGCGGCCTCAGCAGGCCGCGCGCTGTTGCTTTGCCCAGTGAACTTTGTCCAGATGTTTATTCTGGTACCTACAGTTAGCAAAGATCCAGAACTGGGACTGGGGGCTCAGTGGGCAGCACACCGTGGAGGAGTCACAGGCCGGTCATCCCGGCACTGGGGGAGTAGAAGCAGCAGGGAAAAAGAGTTAAGGTCAGCCTCAGCTACAGAGATAACGTGAGGCCAGCCTGGGCTACCCGAGATCCTGTTGCAAAAAAAAAAAAAAGTCTGAAAAGCTTACCTGTTAAAATGACACTGTCCCTGAGGGTTGGGGTTGCGCACTTGCAATTCCAAGCTTTTGGGGAGGCTGAGGCAGGAGGATGGAAAGATCAGGATACAGAGGGCACTGCGTAAAACAAACCCCATAAACAGTGTCTCTGTGCACTGTGGTCTTGGCGGAGCTGGGTGGGGGCGTCTGAGGTGTGGTTACCCCCTCATTGGGGGCCTGGGGCTATCACTCCAGGGACATGAAGGACGCATTTTCATTGTTAAGCCATCACAGCCGCCTGAAATGGAGTCAGAACAGGAGCCGAGGAAACCCCGCTGCCAGGAAGTTCTCACCCAGACTCGGCACTGCTGACCACGCCCTGTCCGGTGAAGCTTCTGGACACCTGATGTGGGACATGAGCGTGCTAAGCAATGCTCCTGATGGGGCCGCAGGGGCCGCAGGGGCCGGGCTCAGTGGGCACAGCACTCGCCCCATGTGCATGAAGCCCTGGGCTCTACGCCAGCACCGTCCAGTGTGGTGCTGTGCGCCTGTCATCCCAGCAATGGAGAGACTGACGCAGGGCGGTCAAGAGTTCAAGGTCAGCCTCAGAAACCCGGGGCGGCTACATGAGACTCTGTCTAAAGAACAAATATGAAATGTCCTAACACTTCTCTTTAAGACAGTTTCACTCATAGCCCAGGCAAGCCTAGAACTTGTCATGCTCCTGCCTCAGCATCCTGAGTGCCGGATGACAGGTGTGTGCCACCATGCCCGGCTCTCTCCACCACGCCCGGCTCTCCACGTATATTTTTATAAAGCCGCTTCTTTCTGCAGTATCAGGAGCCATTTGCTTCCCTGTGCAGGGAGCGGGCATTGTGCCCACCTTGCAGATGGGGAAACTGAGGCCCTGGGACTCACTGCCATCAATCAAGGCTCTGGGGACACCCTAGCGTCTCAGTTTCCATGGAGATCGCTCCCTTGCAGCCTGCAGCCTGGCCGGATCCTCCTGCCCCAATTAGCATGCCTTTAAATTTAGCTGCTGGTGCTTCTCCTGCTAGGGGACTCCCGGATGCAGGGAAGGACAAGGCTTCCTGCGGGGGGGGGGGGGGGGGGGGGGGGGGGGAGGGGAATAACCCTCGCTCTCTTCGGGACCCAGGCGCTGTCGCCCCACCCTTTTTTTAGGTTTTGAGACAGGGCTTCACTGTGTAGCCCAGGCTGGCCCAGCACTCCGGGTCATACTATACAAAGCCCACGAGGACTGGAGATAGGAGTCGCTTCCTGTCATGTCTGCAGAAGAAAAACGGGGATCGAAATGCGCTCACAGCCCCCCCCCCCCACTGAGTGTCAAAAAATCAGGACGTGGAGTAGGAGTGAGGACCCAGAGCGTGGGGCCGTCCCACACCGCACGCTTTCTCTGTGACACACACGGTGAAGAGAGCCCCCCCTCCGAGGGTTGGTCTCTGACCGCACACGCACACCGCACACGCACACCGCACACGCACACCGCACACTGCACACACACCCCGCACACACACACCGCACACGCACACCGCACACTGCACACACACCCCGCACACCGCACACGCACACCGCACACGCACACACTTTGTTATTGTTTTGGGTTTTCGAGACAAGGTTTCTCTGTGTAGCCCAGGCCGGCCTCGAACTCACAGAGATCCGCCTGCCTCTGCCTCCCGAGTGCTGGGACTAAAGGCGTGCGCCCCACCACATCCAGCTCCGTTATAAAATTTTAACAAATGCCTATGACATAAAAGTCCCCATTTTACCCGTCTCAGGCCCGCGGCACGGCTCTCACTCTCGCTGCAGCTGAAACCTTGTCTCCAGAGCTTAAACTGCCCCATCCCACGCTAACTCCATCCCCTCCCCTGCCCTGGGCCCTCGCCGAACCACTTCCTGTCTCTGTGGGTCTGATGACACCAACCCTGTGGTGTGAGGTCCATGTCACTGGGCATCATGTCAAGGGCCACCTGCGTTGGAGCAGTGGCCAGAATGCCCTTCATGGCTGTATAATATTCCAGCGAGTGGCTGGACCACATCATGTGGCCCATTCGTTCCTTGGAAAAGTCTTTGTTGTCTCCTTCGCATTTTATTTTCAAAATGTCAGTGAACGTGGGGTGGGGGAGGCCGGGGGTGTGTGTGCTGCGTTCCCCGTCCTGAGGAACACCCGTCCTCTGGCTGGCTCTTACTGCCAGCCTCGGTGGTCACCGTCTTTCCTGCGGTCAGCAGTGAGTGACCTTGCGCACGCGGGTCTTCCCGACCCCTCCTGCCTGGGCCACGGTCCCGCCCACACGCGTGCGTCATCCGCCCACACTCACCTTGTCTCCTAGCAACGCTCCTCTGCATCCGCAGCCCGGGTCCAGCTCTCCGTCACCACCCGGGCGCTCGGTTTCCTGCCTTGTCTGGGGTCCAGCCTTGTGCCCTTGGCCCTCGGCTGGCCTGCTGCGGGGTCCCCTGCCCCGCGGGGACAGGACTCGGAGCGGGAGGGTCAGTTGCTGCGGCGCTTGGCGGCTTCAGGGAGCTGCACGGCCCAGACGGGACTCCATCTGGACTGAACTCACCAAATGCTGGATTTCGCAGTCGCGGAAGCTCCGTGGTTTGGGGTTGCTAGGCGGGTCCGACTTAACTCTTTGTCACCTGGTGTGGACTCATCTGCCTTCCCGGGGAGACACGGGTGGGCTTGGTGGAGGGGCTCAGTGCAGAGCCGTGGGGCGTGGTCCTCTCCTGTCACTGAACCTGGCCACCAAGGTCTCGGCCACCAGTCCTCCCCACCCGTGAGCCCGCCTAACTGTGAAGCACTGTCCCCCTTAACCAGCCAGAGCCGCGGGCTCTGGGCGCCACCAGGAAGACGCCTTCTCATTTGGTTACCCATGTGTGCCCGGCCAACTAGACCCAGCCCGCAGCGGGCACTTTCCCGTCCGCGGTGACCCCGTGTCCCTATTGGACTTTCTGGTATAGACGCTGGGCAGCGGTGGGTGGCGGGGTGGAGGCTGGCAGGGAGGACAGCTGTGATGGAGGCTGAGCTTCGGGGTTCCACTGGGAGGGGGCGCTGGGGAGAAGGAAACTGGAAGGCAGGCTTTCCCAAGGCCTGGGGCCTGAGTGTCTCCCCGTGCTCCAGGGCGCCTCCTCCAGGAAGCCCAAGCAGAGTGCTCCTGACCAGGACCTCCTCAGGCCCGGAGCTGGCATGCATCTGTGTGGGGCTGTGCAGGGGGTAGCCACGGAGCTGCTGGGGGGCGGGGCTGGAGCTCCGCCCACGCTCATGACGCAGCTTGGTGTGGGGAGACTGAGGCCTGTGGGCACCCCCACCCCCACCCCAGAGTGATGGACACGAAGGCCACACGCACACAGGCAGATCTGCTTTATTCCCATTCTGGCCAAGTTCTGGATGATTCTACAGACTACAGGCGCTGCGCCATGTGCGAGCTGGTCTTTAAAGCCACAGGCAGAATGGAGCAGGGTTGAAGCCTTGGGTGGTCGGGGGTTCAGGGGTGGCCTAATGAGGCACAGCTGTGCCCACACCCAGTGGTCCGCAGGATAACCTGGGCTAGCAGAAGGCACTCAGTGACTGGGGTTCCACTGCGGGGTGACCGTGTCCCAGGGGCCATCTGTGTCCTCACAGCTGGGGTGCAGTAAGGGTTTGTGTGAAGGACATGGGTGGGTTTGGGGTCTGGGGAATCCCGTGCTGTGCTCTCTCCACTCCCACTCTGTGACTTTAGAATCTTCCGGGCCA